ACTGCACTACTCGCCGATGCCTTTTCGTAATCTCCGCCTACGCCCCCACTGACTGCAGTTCGGATGAAACGAAGGATGAGTTCTACCAAAAGCTGTCTAGTTTGCTGCGAAAGGCTAAACGCTCAGATATAGTCGTTTTAGCTGGTGACTTTAATGCTCAAGTAGGGAAATTGTGTCAATCTGAGAAGAATGTTGGTGGCACATACGGAATTCCGTGCCAGCGAACCGACAACGGTGACCGTCTCCTACAGTTCTGTTCAGATAATCATTTGTATCTTGTAAGCACTAACTTCAAACACAAGGAGAGACACTGTTTGACCTGGCGACCACCATCATCAAATCAACGCTGGACACAAATAGACCACATAGTAATAAGCTATCGTTGGCGTGGGTCGGTAGGGGATTGTCGCTCCTTCTGGAACACGTGTGTAGATACCGATCACGCACTGGTCCGCGCTCGTGTGTGCTTACGACTGAACGGACGTAGGAAACAGCTGGCGGTAAACCCATCACGTCCCCAGCTCGACCAGGGAACTAAGTCCCTATTTGAGGAAGAACTAGCTAAACACATATCTGAGTTTGACAGCTGCGCTCACCCTGAAGAAGCCTGGAAGAATATTCAGTTAGCCATAGATACAGCTGTAAAAGCTGTGAATAAGGTAAATCCAAAGGTGAGTAAAAACCATTGGATTTCGACTGCCTCATCCGAACTGATAGATGCTAGAAGACTTATTCCGGCGAGCTCCGAATTCAATGAGGAGCGAAAGCTGCACAAGAGGAAACTTACGAAAAGTCTCCGCAAGGACCGTGAACAGTGGTGGTTGACAAAGGCGAAAGAGATGGAAAAAGCATCGGCGATAGGCAACACCAGACAACTATTCAGGCTTATCAGGGAAACAGGTGGTAAAAGGCAAATGATAAGCGAAACAATCTCCGAGAAAAATGGCACCATAATTAGCTCCCAGGATAGACGTCTGGAGCGCTGGAAAGAACACTATGAGGAGCAGTTTAATTGGCCCACAGCCACACTTAACCTACCGGACATCCAACACCTCCCTGAATGGGAGATAGGCACAGGTCCTCCGTCCTTAACCGAGGTTACTAAAGCTGTCACCAATCTGAAGCTAGGCAAAGCAGCGGGACCTGATTTATTGACTCCAGAGGTATTTAAGTACGGAGGCGACAGTTTACTGTCTGCGTTAACGGAGGTTCTAGGCAGCGTCTGGGAATCAGAGGAAGTCCCATCGGGTTGGTGTAAGTCACTGATCATCCCGATATACAAGAAGGGGGACAAGTCGTCTTGTGATAATCACAGAGGGATTAGCTTGACTAATATAGTATCTAAAATCCTAGGCTCAATAATACTGCGTAGATTAAGTGGTGCTCGGGAGACACAAACACGAGAAAACCAGGCAAGTTTTAGGCCAGGTAGAGGGTGTATTGATCACATCTTCACCCTTCGACAGATTCTAGAACATAGGCATTCCTACCGGCGTCCGACAATCATTATATTTCTTGACCTAAAGGCGGCATTCGATTCTGTCGACCGAGAGGTTATCTGGCGATGCTTGGCTGTAAAGGGAATGCCAAGAAAATACATTGCACTGATTAAGGCACTCTACTCGTACTCATGCAGCCAGGTGAGGGCTTATGGCGAGTTGTCATCTGAAGTGGTGACGACTAGTGGCGTCCGTCAAGGATGCCCATTATCCCCATTCCTATTCAATTTCATCATAGATGTACTAATGGACTTAACCCTAACTCACTTCAGCGACTCAGGGATTGACTTGCTACCAGGGAAGAATCTCGTTGACTTAGAATATGCGGACGATATAGTCTTTCTAGGCGAGGACTCTGACAAAATGCAGAGTCTACTGAACACCCTGAGCAACAATCTCCGCATGTTTGGCATGCGATTCGCCCCTATAAAATGTAAGATGATGCTGCAGGATTGGACTACACCGACTCCTAAATTAGAAATAGGAAGTGAAGTGGTAGAACACGTTGACCGCTTCACTTACTTGGGAAGTACCATCAGCCCCAACGGGTTGATCTCCGACGAAATTTCAGCACGAATACAGAGGGCTAGGTTCGCATTCGCCAGTTTTCGCCGTCTCTGGCGTAGACGCGATATCCGACTATCGACCAAAGGGCGTGTGTACTGCTCAACAGTCCGCTCCGTCCCCCTTTATGGCTGTGAGACCTGGCCATTGAGAGCAGACGACATGAAAAGATTAGCTGTCTTCGATCATAGGTGTCTGCGTTCTATCTCCCGCGTGAAGTGGTATAATAAGGTGAGCAATATTGAGGTTAGGCGTCGAGTGCTAGGTAAGGCGGGGAAATCAATCGACGAGACTGTAAAATTACTTCGACTGAGATGGTTAGGACATGTGCTACGTATGCCTAGTCATCGCCTTCCTCGACCGATGGCCAGTGTTAGCTGATATAGGGTCAGGCTGGAAAAGAGCTAGCGGCGGTCAAACCAAAACATGGCACCAATCAATGAAATCCACAACAGTTAATCTAAGCCACGTAGGAAGATGTAGACTTCCTGGTTGGGGCCCTCGGGATGGTAAAAACCAATGGTTGGAAACAATTGGTGACATGGCTCAAAATCGTTCTCAGTGGCGCAGATGCATCCACTCCTTGTGACTTATGATTTCCAATTAAACTGTTTGTTCTTCGTTATTACCATTCCTTTGTCTCACACCTTTGTTTACTGTCTATATTATGCATTTCTTCTACTTCCTTCTCTTGCTTTGCGTGCTACATAGATTGTGGCGACTTGAACTGCCGCACATATGTGCAAAGTTCTATGTCGAAAACCGACCGACCGACTTTTTACTTCATTTATACACATGGGTGAAATTGATTAGACATTTGAATAACAATTAACATAAGATCATGTACATTCAGAAATAATTATATGAGTGTTATTCATCAAATACAATCAGATGGGTAATAAGATGTTTTTATAGTAAAATAAATAAATAACTTGTTAGAATGTTGTGATGTGCTTGAATTGAAATAGAATTTTGAGATTATTTATTATCCTCCTCTGATTTGACTGACTGATGGTAATAATATCTTCCATACATATCTTTGGTATTTGCATTGAGTCATTTCTGTTGCAAGTGTTGGGAGTAGACTCGATGAACAAGGAATCAGAAATCAATCCCTCTCTGTCTCCACCTACATAGATTACTTCTTAGAATCTTAACCCTCTCCCACCCTCCCTATTGTATGGTTATGTGTTAACGCATGTAGGGCCATTGCTGAGCTCCTCTTTCCAAACGACTTATCTTCGTGGGATCAACCATTCTTACCTTAACTAAATTCTTATGTTCTGATAATCTCACTACCCCCTCCCGTTTTACTAGTGTGACCTATGTAGTTGACCTAACTCACAGTCACTGCAAGGCATTTTGTAAATTATATTATTTTGCTTAATTGGATCCACCGGGTCTTTTAGCCTCCAGAACTTGTCTCTGACCCCGAAACTCTTGACCCCACGAAGATAAGCAATTCAAAAAAAGCTCAGCAATTGCACTACATGCATTAACGCAACCACACAATAGGGTGTCAGAGGGTTAAGATTCTTAAAAGTAATCTAGGTAGGTGGAGAGAAGGACAGATTCGTTCATTGCTGAATCCTGGTTCATCTAATAATCTACACCCAACACATGCAATAGAAATGACTCAATGCAAATACCAAAGATATGTATGGAAGATATTATTACCACCAGTCAAATCAGGGGAGGATAATAAATAATCACAAAATTCTATTTCAATTCAAGCACATCACAACATTCTAACAAGTTACTTATTATGACTAAAAAGCCACTCGTCTTATTCCCCATCTGATTGTATTTGATCAATAACACTCATATTATTATTATTTCTGAATGTACATTATCCCATATTGATTTTTATTCAAATATCTAGTCAATTCCATACATATATATAAATGAAGGAAAAAAGTTGTGTGAGTGACTTGATATGATTATGAGGAGTAGTAATAAATTGTGCTCGAAACATGTTCATCAGTTAATATTACTGTACAATAACACTGTGTGATTTTATCAAAATAAAATCTTATCCATAATGGAGTTATAATCTACCACCACAGTGCCCAAGTTTTATACTTATATCAATAATCTATGACCAAAAGTCACTTCATAATCAAACCTACGACCAATCCAATCTCTACAAATCGACATTTGAAATTTAACTTCTCAATTCACCAACAGTGTAGTGTGTGTGTGTATGATACCTTCTGGAAGAATCTTAAGTGATACAGAGTAACGGGTCAAGGTGTGCGTAAAGAGAAAAAGGAATGAAAGACCATTGTGTGTGTGCAGCAAATATGGGAAGCATGAAATGAAGAGCGTTGGTGGCATAGTGGTTAGGACCCTCGCCGACCATGCACATGGTCTGGGGTTCGATCCCCGGTCACCAACGCACTCCTTTACCTCGCTAAGCCAGAAATAATGCTGGTGGAGAGGAAAGATTGGGCATGAGGCTAGCAACCCCATCCTGTAAAATAAACACTGCTACAGAAACTTCAAGCCACTAGCTTGAAGCCCTATGTTCCACTGAAGAAAGTGAAGGAAAAAAATGAAATGAAAACGACAAAAGAAGCAGAGCACGAAGAAGCATTTCACCATCTCTCAGTGTACACCACTTCTTCTTCACATAAAACAAAAAAATTTTACTACTGAGAATACCACTGTGCTCTGCCATTGGAACAGAATTAGAATCCATCAGCTACAAAAAAATACAGCAGATGGTGGTTATCCGCATGCAATACTCTTTAGCATAAAGCTCTTAAGAATATACTAAGGGAGACCAACTCAAGCTTTAGCAAAAGCGCTAACACACGGAGTCAGATAGTTTACTGATGACTTTATCAAAATGGCGTTGACACAAAACAAGAATGCAAATTAAAAGAAACCTTTGACAACCCTGATACCTTTACACATGCATGCATGTATACATACCTCTAAAATTTGACTCAATGGACTCGAGTTAAATTCTTTCTGAAGACAATCTGTATTCGGTGAATAAGGGAAATCACTGGATGCATAGACTAGCTGTAACGATTGACCGGGTTCATCAAGCAATGAGGAGTCGGTGTGCGTCTGAATTGCTCTACCTATATCAAGAGGAAGAAGAAAAAAAAGAAAACGAAAGCAATCAGAATGAAAATCAAAATGTTATTTAGATTCGTGGTGACTAGCAATGGAATCCAGAATGTGCATTTCGTCCCATTTGGGACTCGTCAGGTACAATTCCGAGTGAGTCACGGCGTTCCTTTCGAGACTCAAACCCTGTACGCATCGTTTCAAACGCCTTGACGTCAGTTATTAGCTGTTGAAGTTATTTTTTCTGGTTTCCCCGTTGATTGATTAGACATAAATGTTCGACCCATGTTGACACTATCGAGAGGCAGTTGTCATGACCCAGATGGCCTAATGAATAACGCTTTGGAGTTTGAAACGACGGGCGCTGGTTTCGAGTCTTCGTGGGAACACCATGACTCACTGGGAAATGGAGTTACATCCAGTTGAAGAGTCCCAAATAGGACAAAATGTGCATCTTAGATTCCACTACTAGTCACTCACCATCCACCAAACTACTTCAAGTTTATCCTCAGGCATCATCAAAGTGTCCGTACTAGAAGCCGAAATATCAGCAGAGATCGAACATTTCGGGCGAATCAATCAATGGGAAAATCCAAATCGATTTAAACAAAAAATAATAAATTTCGCCATCTGTAAACAGACAACAGAATATAAATGTTTGGCAGGCTATTAACGCATTGCAGATCACGTTTATAATAATGCTAGACACCTAAATATGATTCAAAACCATGATTCCATGTGATACCCATAGATTAAATGCTGAGAAAACACCCACAAAGTGTATCATATAAATCAGTTGACTTCACACACTTCAAGACGATTAACTAACTTTAGTTTATTCATCAACCTGAAATCAATCTGGAAATATTCGTCACTCAACATCAACAACAAAATTCGAATTTTCAATACAAACGTCAAGTCAGTTCTTCTATATGGATCAGAAACTTGGTGGGTCACAAAGAATATTTCCAACAGCCTGTTGCAGACCTTTATCAACAATAACTGTCTTCGCTGGCTCTATACTGAAGATCAGATGGCCGCCGCAAAGAATCACCAACAAGAAACTATGGGAACAAACAAAACAAGAACTAATCGCCCAACAAATATGCAGGAGAAAGTGGAGATGGATTGGACACTCGCTGAGGAGGCCGCTGGGTGACATCGCGCTTCAGGCCATTGCTCGAGTGGAACCCGAAAGGGAAGCGGCGAGTGGGACGTCAGTACAAGGGTGACATGGAGGAGATCGTGTAAAGAGGAGTTGAAACAGTATGGACTAACATGGATGCAGGTGAAAAGTACAGCAGAAGACAGAAGTAAGTGGAGACGTGCAGTTGAAGCCCTATGTTCCACCAGGAACCCCAGGGAACAATAATAATAAAAGTTTATGCGCAAGGTGTCAATCGATAGCTTTTGTAATGCACGCGTGAGAAATTGTCAACATTCACCCAACCTAAACGAAACTAGTATGCAATAATATTGGTTTACATTTTGCCAACACATGTGGCATTTCGTATTGTCTAAACAACAAAAGTGTCGGAAAAAAACAAATGAAGTTATCGCTATCGAGAAAAATCATTTTTCATGATAAATTATTCAAAAAATTTGAAGCTGGCACACAACTCTACCCTACTGTCAAAACGATTGAAATTCACATGCGAAGAGGAATCCCAAGACAGAATTGCCTTCCTGAATGTCCTACTTACAAGAAAACCAGGTGGTAGCATAAAAAGAAATTTACATAGAAAAAGTACAAGGACGGGACAATATACACACATTTTCACAGCTTCGTTCCTCTCAAGTACAAAAGAAATTTAGTGAAGACCCTCACTCGGCCACAGACTTAGAGCTATATGCTCAGAAGAAGTAATTGAAGATGAATTAAGCATTGTGTATATAATACTTTGATCAAAAATAGCTATCCCGAAAAGGTTAACAAGAAACACATAAGCGTCAGCGGCACAGTGGTTAGGACTCTCGCCGACCATGCACATTCTCCGGGGTTCGACCCCCCGCCGACGCACACGTGATATCAATGGTCGGTTTGCGAAATTTGGGCTACCGATATCACATGCTGAAAATCCCATACTTGTACTAAAAATACGGTGTGGGATCAAGCTGTAATCAAAACCTGCTTTATTTTGCCTTTTCACGTGTATATCGTTGAATTATGAGCATATTGAGAGGATTACACTGCAAGTGGTATGTAGATCTGCCTTTCTCACTGTTCTGCTCACTGTCGACCACATAATCGTGATTATCTGCTTTATTTTGCCTTTTCACGTGTATATCGTTGAATTATGAGCATATTTAGTCCTATGTGAATCTATTGAATTCAGAAACTTAAGAATATTTTCAACCAAACATGTTATGAACCAGCTAGAGTTTCATATTTGAAAGGATAAGTTACTTGAGACATCATTATTGCTTGAAAGTATTGTTACGAGCCCGCGATAAGTTTCACTGATAGTTTGTTGCTTCATTTCATTTACTGTGTGAGGGCTGAGATACTGCCCGGGCGCCTAGACCGAAGCAGGTGGTTTTCTTAAGGGACCAGCCCTCCCCTTGAGCCTTTGACTTGGAGTCTAATCCTCAAGGTAGCGGAGCAGCGTCAGGAGCTGCGGCATTCCCATGGTTACCGGTGACCAATATAGGTTCACACGCCATTTGATCCGACTGGATTCTGGAGCCCATGTACCCCCCATGGTATCTGCTTTTAGTCTAACCGCTATCTAAACAACTTTCCTGACAAGGTAGGATCTGCAGGAACATGAGTCCCAGCCAGTTTAGCTTGTTGAATCACTGCGGTATTCAAGCCTGACCACCACGACAAGGTAGCAGTTGTCGGCCGGGATTTAAAGGATACAGTAAGACATGGTGACCTCCATGGGATGGTATTTCTACCTCAGAAACCTGTTTCGTTGATCAGTCATGCGTAAAAGAAATAGGTTTGAAAGACGCATCCATGAATAGATGTCTCTAACACTATCCGGTGAGACACACTTTACAATATGCGAAATACTTCAGCCTAGACAGGTTGTACCTCACGGCCTAGTGCAGTATGTTACTACTTAACAGCCACTTGCGTTACCATGGAGTTGGCAATGTGCCACATCTATTGGGTGAGAACTAATGACACTATCTGGCTACTGAAACTTGATACGGTGAAGTAGGACTCGAACCTGTGACCTAGTGACTGAAAGTCGGGAACCCAGACAACTGAGTTACAGCTTCCTAGTGGAAATGGAGTATCTGAAAATCTCTCCACAAATCAACACTACACGGAGATGAAATCATATTTACCCAAATATCGATTTTTCATCAGTTCAGTGTTTATTTTATTGATGCAAATGCATGCGTGGTATGACATTTAATCACGCTTTGTGTGACATCGGTTACCAATTGTTTATGTGAAACGCCAAGTTAGTACAATATGGATGCTAAGAGATGCGTCACACAGAAACAATAAAACGCAACTTAAGGAAAATAACAGTTGAGGCATACCATCATTACTTCATGTTACATTCAGAAGAAGGAGATTGTAACACTATATATGTCCAAACCAAGTTCACTTCTAACAGTTTGAAAAAATTTGGGCATAGGATATATGATATAATAAAGGTTTTTGTATTTTCCAATGAATGAAAAAGAGCGAAACAATATTGTTTATACTGACGTTTCGCTATTTAATGCTAATAGCTGTATCAAAGTATTATTAAACCAGAATTTACAAAATCTTAGCATGTATATACCAAAGAGTTAAGGGGTGAGAAAATAGACTTAGGTCAAGCTAAAAGGACATATCGAAAGTCAATTTTGTGACCTGATTCTATAGCATGTAGACCTATGGCTGATGAGTTTTCAAGTCTTTCTAATTCAACCGGATTTCTTGGTGGTCGAAGAGATGCTCTACGGTGCTCATTTCTTCTGATTTTGATTTCGCACTAGTGATGTTTGTCCGATGTATATCACATCACATTCCAAGCATTTTATTTTATAGACACAATTAGATAGAGAATCTTTAGGGATCTGGTCTTTTATATGGACAAGGCTGTTTCGCAGTGTGTCTGATGTTTTGAAGAAAACTCTAATGTCGAGCTGATTGAGTACTCTTCTGATATCGTCTGACTTCTCCACTCTACATGGAATGACAACCGTTGAGGTCCATGTTTTCGGAATACGTTTTCCACAATACTTAATGTCTGTGTTGATTTTGTTGATGAAGTCCCTTGGGTAGTTGTTTTGCTTGAGAGTTTCAGTAATGTTTGATATTTCTTCTTCTTTTTCTTTCTCATCTGTTATCAGAGAGTATGCTCGCCCAAGAAGACTTGAAACAACTGAAATATTTGCGCTGATGGGGTGCGATGATTTGAAGTATAAATATTTATTGGAGTAGGTTTTCTTCCTGAATATGGATATACTAAAATGTCCGTTTTCCCTTCTCTTAACTAGGTAGTCTAGAAATGGTAGTTCACCGACGTCTGATTCTGCTTCCAAAGTAAACTGGAGATTGTAACATGTTCTCCACTGATTATATCTGGAGTCACTGATCCCGACTATCTTTCGGACTCCACCAACATATACTAATCGAACACAACTATCCTTCAGTATCATGGTACCGTTTTAGGTTAACTACCCGTCCCCCCCCCTTTTTTCACCCAGTCCAAGAGCCAGCACACAATGAACGGTGTAGGAACTGCTGTTATAACATTCGCAGTACATGTTCAAGCCAACGAAGACAGTGTCCCAGGATGCAAGCAATTCTATGGAGGCAGCCAAGATCAAACATACAGAGTCACCGCACCTACTCAACTAGAAGATGCGAGGCACAGAAGAATTCTTTAAGGGGTTCATAGGTGACGCGGATTCGCATATTTCTCTCTGGATATCACTTTACAACTAGAAATTTCATCCGTCATACCTCCGCCAGTAGTCACATAACTACCTAGATACACCTAAATCAGTGGGTGCAGGTACAGAATCCCGCCAGTCCTGTAACAATACTTTACAACTAGACTGGAATAAACTGCACAGCATGTTGACAGATACTAACCGTCAACCGATTAAGTGCAGTTTCAGTAACCTGTACGGCAATGTATAGTAAGACAGAAAATGTCAGAAGAAAAACAACAACAACAAAGAGGAAAAAGCATTACTTACTTGTCGATGAAGTATTATTTTCATGTAACACTTTATCTGGTGAATTAACAAGCTGGCAGGAGGAAATTTTTCGAGTAGGAATAATACTTGATGGACTTAACATAGTCCAACTAGTATTACTATAAACTGGACTGATGAGTGATTCCTTCTAGTAAAAGAAAGGGAATATATATGTATATGCACAAAGTGATAAGAATATTAACAGTTATTATTGATTTTGTGACTAGCGCATGGAATTATAACTTCACAGGGAATCAAGTATGCTATGATTTATTATAGGGAAAAATCCCCATTTAGACATTTAGAAAACAGAAAGATTGAGCAGCGAATGGTCTACGAGCTCGCCTTGTAACCAGAAGGTCCTGGGTTCAAAACCCGCAGTGTGGGTGCGTACTGCAGAAGAGTCCCAAACTGGGACGAAACAGAAGTCCAATGGTTCTCTAACTGATGTCAGCTCATGATAAAATCCTCCAACCAATGACTACTCAATAATGAACATGAGATGACCAGTCAGAAGGCATTTACAACAAGAAACTCTGCCAACGAATCAACCAAGAACCAGTGATCCAACAAATATGCAGCAGGAAACGGAGATGGATCGGACATACACTGCCAGTCAGACCGGCGAGTGGAAGCTGAATAGGGAAAGACGAGCTAAGCGTTCGAGGGTAACGTGGAGGAGGTCGTGTAAGGAGAAGATGACAGCTGACAGGCAATCATGCAGCCGGCTTAAGACGACTGTAGAGGACGGAATGACATGGAGATGTGCTGTTGAAAACCTCTGTTCCACTCGGAACCTAAAGGAATAATAGTATAATGTGAATTCACGTAGGTAAAGTAACAGATTTTCTGTTTGTCAACATGCATAAAATCTTGATCAATGAACTCCACCTGGTCGAAATTTCGTGTCTAGTACACGAATCAGATCAGATCTTACAATTTAACAAAAAATGTTAGAATGGTCATCTACGAGGCCAACTAAATGTAGACATATATATATATATATGTGTAGGCTAAAAGACCCGGTGGACCCAATTAAACAAAATAATATAATTTACAAAATACCTTGCAATGACTGTGAGTTAAGTCAACTACATAGGACAAACTAGTAGATAGGGGGTAATCAGATTATCGGAACAAAAGAATTTAGCTAAGGTAAGAATGGTTGACCTCGAGAAGATAAGTAATTTAGAAAACAACTCAGCGATTGCACTGCATGCATTAACACACAACCACACAACAGTGTGGGAGAGGGTTAAAATTCTAAAAATGTAATCTATGTAGGTGGAGATAAAGAGAGATTTATTACTGAATCCTGGTTCATCGAGTGAATCTACACCCAACACATGCAATAGAAATGACTCAATGCAAATACCAGAGATGTGTATGGAAGATATTACTATCACCGCCAGTCAAATCAGAGGAGGATAATAAATAATCTCAAAATTCTATTTCAATTCAAGCACATCACAAAATTCTAACAAGTTACTCATTATGACTATAAAAACACTCGTCTTATTTCCCATCTGATTGTATTTGATCAATAACACTCATATTATTATTATTTCTGAATGTACATTATCCCATATTGATTTCTATTCAAATGTCTAATCATCAATTTCACTCATGTATATAAATGAAGGAAAAAAAGTTGCAGAAAAGAAAAGGCGTTCAGCAAAGAGTTACTCTTTTCGGCGATATCATTCTCAAGCTGTACAAATAGCAAATTTATAGTAATTTTTCTTGGCAACAATAGGAATATTTCCAAAGATGTGTTAATGCAATTGTTAATTTTTGACAACAAATTACGTAATTTAGAAGGCGTTAATCGGTTAGAAACTAAAATAAAGTTACAAAAGTAGGTTGGGTGACGTAATCCAATTGATAGTCTAATTCAATGAAAAATGAATGAGAGTCAAGTTAATAATCTGAGTAGAATTCACTTGAAAATGAATGAGAGTTAAGTTAATAAGCTGAGTAGAATTCACTTAAAAATAAGCGAAAATGGAGTTAGCAACAGTCGTCATGAGGGTAGAGATTTAATAGAGGGTGGGGCTAGAAAATAGTGCAATTAAGAAACAGACAAACAAAGAAGAAAGAGGTAAGACAAAATTACGTATTTGGTGTTAAGATAGATCAGGACCATTGTAGATTTAGCGACTGAACAAACTTCTTTTGTATGCAGAGTTCAGGATTCAATATGTGAATTGCCATTGCTTCTGCAGTTTGAAGAAGTTTAATTCGTACTCTTTTGGCAAGATTCCCACGTATTGTGTAGATAACTGAGAAGTTGTTTTGTGGGTTTGCTTGGTGTCCGGATTCGATCAAGTGTTCTAGGATAGAGCTGTGGCGGGAGGATCTTCTTTCTCCTTTATAAAACCATGAAGGTAAGTGTTCGCTGATTCGTTTGGATAGCAAACGCTGGGTACGGTCGACATACCTAGCTCCACATGAGCAGGTGAATTGGTAGATGCACATTGATGAGGCCCCCAGTGGAAGCTTATCCTTCACGTTCGTGCGAATCATTGGTTTCGTAGAGTTGTTGTGTGAGTGCCTTGATATGTTTATGAGCAATAGTTTGTGCTCGGAGCGTGGTCATCAGTTAATATTACTGTATAACACTACACTGTGTATGACTTTATCAAAATAAAATCTTATCCATAATGGATATATATATATATGTAAAGGACTTACCTTTGTTAAACTGGATACTTTAGACAGAGAACGAAATCGAGTCAGGGCACGTTTGAATAATTCATCAACAATTAAATATCGTAGATTAGCCATTCTTTCTTCATTAGTTAATTTGACAGCTTTGCAGCATTTAGCTTTTGTATAGTTCATTGAATCAATTGCAGGGAAGGAATTTAATCTGTCTATATCTAAAATCGGTTTTGTTAGATGAGAAGTGAATGTGAATGTGAACTCACTTGAACAGGTGGAAGAAGAGGAGAAGACTGTATCATGGGGTGTTGTATTCTTTTGATTTGTTTTACAGCCGTTGTTATTATTATTATTGTTTAATTTAGATGAACAATTGCTTTCACTACAACCTTGGGGTAGATGAGATCCACACGCCTATAAAAAAAAGATAAGAAGAACACATCACAATGAAATTTAGTCCTTTACCTAGTTTTCTAGTTTTGATATTGTCAGTTTATATATACGTATACCGATAATAAATATAGAGGCTATAGAGGCAGTCAGAAAAGAACTCGAACTTAGAACGAAATTGCCACTATTAGAGGACATAAGGCTAGGAGTGCAGCTATGCCTGACTTCCAAAGTATTTAAATTCCAGGGAGAAAATATACAAATAAACTGAGGGAGTTGTCATGGGCTAATCAATATCCCCGGTTGTGGCAGATATATATTCATAGGTAGGTGGGAAAAAATAGCGATTGAAACCTTCAGCCCCACACGCTAAAAGTATGGTGTAGATACGTAGATGACACATTCACTGTACTTAGAACACAGGATATAGATAGATTTTTCGAACATATCAACTCGGAGGTGGAGGCAATTCAATTCACTTATGAATTGGAAAGTCAGGAAGGGTAGCTTCCAAAGTTAGACACTAGTGTTTACAGGAAGCTCAAACAGATATTTGGACTTCCGATCATCCCATCTTATGTCAGTGAAAAATGTCAGTGCCACACTCCTTCCTTAGGCGTTGGACTAATATCTCACTGATGTTATCCCCGAAGAACTGAAGTTTTAAGAATAGAACCTTCCTGTTTCGGAGAACTGTTGGTACTTTGGCCTGTTTTGATTTTTGATTCATGCGCTTATCGGTGAATTTTTCTGGATAGCCGTTCTCATTCAGCGACAGTTTAATAATAATAATAATAACAATAACCTTGTCCATCAAGGTTTGAATGATCCTCAATTTGTTGTAGAAATTACCTTAATTTTATTTGATATTCTATTTGCCATTACATTTTTACGGGTATTATAATTTATGCATCTTTAGTGAACTGTAATTCCATTGCGATCTTACTTAACGAATCGATAGTATTTAAAAACACCAATATTGTTAATGACGATTATTCTAGAGTATTCTATGTATATAAACGTATATATATATATATATATATATATATATATGGAGAGCCAGAAGTTAGAACTATCAGAAAGGATATTATCGGCTTAATTTTTTGTTTTTTTCTAAATATCTGAATTTGTCAATTCCACTAGGACTCGTCAGCTGAATGCTCCTCAAACACTGTGCGTCGGTGGCACAGCGGTAGAATGCTCGCCAACTACACATGTAGTCCGGGGTTTGATTCCCGGCCGACGCACTCCTTTACCTCGCCAAGTCCGTAATAAGGCTGGTGAAGAGGGAAGATCACTGCTACAGAAACTTCAAGTCTCTAGCTCGAAGCCCTATGTTCCACTGGGAACGTGAAGGAATAAAAAAATATACATAGACTAGTCCAACTTGATGCTTATTTACTGTCATCATGCTCTCTGTATTTGTATGGCCAATGTCAACCGTAGAAACTAGTATAAATAAATCTTGTTTGTTCAGTATTCACAGTTAACGCATCCTACTGGGATTTATGAATTGGTTAAGTGACGTGCTTTTGAGAGATTTGCAGCTCAGATTTGAAGGGAAGTGAGCTATCATCAGTACAATGAGAAATAGTGTGAATACAATAAACTTTTAACAGGATGACTACTGATCATAACAATGGTTCTCGAACTGATGTCAGTTTACGATATCTAACCTGGAAGTTTGTTATGGCTGACTGACTGACTGACAGACAGACAGACAGACAGACTGACTGACTGACTGACTGACTGACTGACTGACTGACTGACTGACTGACTGACTGACTGACTGACTGACTGACTGACTGACTGACTGACTGGTTTCAACATAGAACTACTTCGCACAGATGTGCAGCAGTTCGAGTTGCCACACTCCCTCCATGTAGCATACAAAGCAAAAGAAGAGAGTAAAGAGAGGTTCAAAAGAGAGAGATAATAAACTAAGACATGCGGGAAAAAGAATAGTAATATGGAAGAACAATAGAATTTCATTGGATATTGTAAATCACAAAGATAAAATGCATCTGCGCCAGCCATCATCGAGAACGATTTTGAGCCATATCACCAATTTTCTCCAGCCATTGGTTTCTATCATCCCGAGGACCCCGACCAGGAAGTTTACACCTTCCTAAGTGGTTTAAACTAACTGCTGCACTCAGCTTAAAGAACAAGACTTAGACTTTCATAAGTAATGTTACGTCAGTGATTCTATATGGTTCAGTGACTTGACGAGCTATAAAAACCCTTTCCTACAGGCTACCACAGACATTTATCAACATCTTTCCCCTTCAGCCCCCTGTCAACGAACCGACCAAAAACCTATTGAGCAACAGATACGATGAAGAAAATGGAGATGGCTAGCACACAGTCTGAGACCGTTGAGTGACACTACACGCCAGGATTACCCTCGAATAGGACTCGAACGGGAAGCAAACAGTTTGGTGTGTGTCCGAGGGGGGTAATTTGAGTAGATCTTATAAGAAAGAGGTGAAAGTTTATAGGCAAGCGTGGAGCCTGCTAAAAAAGGCGAAGTTCAACAATAGCGTCTCAGGAGTGTGAACGCTCCACTGACCTTGAAAGCATGCTAGTCGTTGGCTAACCGGCACCTGTCATTATCATAGCTGAAATTTCAATGCTACTCAGCAACTCAGGAACGAATTTCACCCAGATACCACGTTTTTAAGTACTGTTTGGGCAATGTGTTAATAGCTCGTTAAGGTTAAGATTAGGGTTAAGGTAAGTATTGGAATTGGCTTACGGTTAGAATTAGGGTTGTAATTAGGGTTAGGATTAAGGTTAGGATTACGATTACGGATAGATTTGGAGGTGATGTTACTTATTTTAATTTGTTTTATTATATACATTTCCCTGGTAAGTAGTTGTCGATCTTCTTACTGGAAACCAAAGTAATTCAACCGGAGGCTTTTGGGGAAGACTGCACACAACAGGATAAGAGAGATAAAAAGAGATTCACAAAAACAGCTCATCTTAAATCATCTTGGTAAAGTCAGAGAAAGATGCCCCGTTTAATGTGTGTTTTCATGCATTTTCTTGTAAATATATACGTCTCTTTTTTCATGCTAAAATTCCTCGTTTTTATGATTGGTCGGCGCTCAAGGATACTCGTGCTTTCGCATCCCATGAGACGCTATTGTTGAACTTTGTTTGCCCTAAAAACAACTACAGAACTCTCAAGTATCGGTTTTGTACGGATTTTTTGTTTGATTGCATGGAGGATTTCATCATGAGCTGACCTGGGAGTACCTGTCCAATCCCTACAAAACAGATACTTGAAAATTAATCTGATGCTCACTAGCGACTGGCCCTATTCAGCCAGTGACCTGGTGTTCTAGTGGGAAGCCGTGACCAGTAGGATACAGCAGGTTGAAAACGAGGCAGTAACTCATCGAGGAAGACATTGCGAAATGGTCGCGCTATGTCGTGAATTGGCAGAAGTTAGAATTCATGGACTGGCCATTGGATCGGGTCCCGGTGGCTCAATGGTCTACGAGCTCGCTGGCCTTGTAACCAGAAGGTCCTGGGTTCGAACCTTGCAGTGTGGGTGAGTACTACTGAAGAGTCCTAAACTAGAACGAAACAGCTTCCAGTACTCTCAGGTGGTTTTGCAGTGGTTCTCTAACTGATGTCAGCTCATGATGAAATCCTCCATGCAATCAAACTTGATTCCACTCAGAGCCCAAGGAAAAAATAATACTGAAGGAAATAGGATTAAATACGGTCATGTAGTCACAACAACAGCCTCGTACAAAAGGTGAAACGAGGCAAAAAAGAAAACGAGATCAATGTAATCCGAAAAAACAAGCCTGTTTTTACGACAGTTTAAGAATCGAATATCATACTATACCTTTAGTGAGTGATAAAATGAAAAAGAGTCACAACTTACAAACCGGCCTTTTCGTCTGCTTTCTTGTATGCTTATTTCATTTAATCAGATATTTAACTGTTTACACGAAAATGTGAAATGTAAAAGTTTGTACACCAACAATTCCTTCGTAATGACAATATAATTTATAGTCCTAACAAGGCTGGTCACACATAAAGTCGTGTAGACAGCAATCTGTCTGACTGGATAAGAAATCTACATGCATATAAATTAATGGTGTTTCTTTTTTCTTTTTTTGGTTGAAAAAACAGCCCACTCACTAAAATGGATATTTTGCCTAAATGTCACCTAGAAATATATAAATTTAGTAATGTGTTTTAAAAAAGAAATCAACTGTCTTTTATTTTATTTTTTTCCAAAGTAAATGACGTGTCAAAGAAAGCGGGTAAAAATCACCGGGCGAGTGTTTTGCCAAAATATCAGACAAAAATTAAATAGCCAAACTTTATTTCCGCTTATGACATTGCCAATCAATGGAAATAATCATTCGATATCATCTTGAATTGCATCAATCGGCTCTCATTGATATGTTATGGCAAAGATATATATATCAGGTAGAGAACCATTGAAAACCAGCCACAGAGAGTACTGGACAGCAGGCTGTTTCATACTAGTCTCTTGGGAATCATCAGAAGTACGCACCCACCCCACTTCCAGGGTTCGAACCCAGGACCTTCCAGTTACAAGGCAAGCTGGCTGGCATACCATTCAGCCACCACGGGGACTCGATTCAATGGCGAGGCCACGAATCCTAACTTCTACCAATTCGTGATTTAGCGCGATCCCAACCAATGTCATCATTGGGACATCCATCCTCACACGTGACATCTGGCTGAACCTCGCTGATCACGACTTCTCACTAGAACTCCAGGAAATTCGATCCTGTAGCAAGTCACTAGCGAGCATCAGATTACTTCTCTATAGTTAGTTTGTAAGAGTTAGTTTTGTTTTTACGAGTTGATCACGGATTGATACCAGTTGAAGAACCATTGAAAACCAGCCACAGGGAGTAATGGACAGCTGTTTCATCCTAGTCTCTTGGGAATCATCGGAAGTACGCACCCACCCCACCTCCAGGGTTCGAACCCAGGACCTTCCGGTTACAAGGCGAGCTAGCTTG